GCAAAAAAAAAATGGCATTAATAAATAAATTGAAAAGAAAAACAAGAGGTATCATCATGATCACGATCATGATCCTCTCTATCTGACAAATGAGGGACTGAGGTTTTGAGAGCCTCCGGTACTGCGCATTGTGAATCTCCAGGAGGGAGGCAGAGCGTGCAGTGTTTCTGATCTTATTTGACAGGGATCTCTTTTCCCACAAGGATTTCATGGTGCTAGGGATTTGCAGAATCAAGCTGGTGAAGGCTGGGCACGATCCTCTCTGGGATCCTTTTGAGCGCTAACATTCCCTTCTCATCACTTTGGACCCTGTGAGTCTTTCTTCTGCAGACCCAGAACTCCAGAAGAGCCCCTCCACCCAGGCTCTGCCCTCCTGAAGCCAAAGGTCGACTGGAGTCTCCTGGTGGTGGGCAGTCTGTTCACCGAACGGAAGCAGTAGCCGGACCCCTCAATTCCATCTCAGGGGAGGACAGCCTGTGCAGGCTGTTCTCCGGAATTCTCGATCTATCAGTGAAGTGCCCAAACCCCCATCGCTGGACACTGTTTCCAGTCAGAGAGAGAGAGGGCCAAGTATTCTTCCCGGGCTGGCTAGTCTTAGAGGTGGCATAAGATTTTTGTGGGGAAAGGACCCAATTGTTTTGCGGCTGGGAATTCCTTGGAAGGGAAAGCAGAGCCTCTGTCACGCTCAGGACCCCAGGCCATGGGGCTGAGGGTCAAGAGGTTATGAGCCAGAATCTGATCTTTGGGGTGGGCCAGTGAGCTCACTTGGTTAGAGTGTGGTGCTGCTCACACCAAGGTCCAGGGTTCGATCCTTGAATGGGCCAGCCGCAAAAGAAGAAGGGAGGTGGGGGGCAGAATCTGACCCTCCGGCTGTAAAGGCTGTGCAAATGGGTACTACCCACAGTAGTCAGTTCTTCTTTTCTTCTTATTGTCATGGCCCTGGGGTAGGAGACTCCTCTAAAGTTTAGGAAGTTCAGAACACCTTAATTCTTGGGGTGGAATTATTGGTCCTGTTCTTTGTTTCCTAACATAAATCCTTTCCCAGACCTTCCTATGAGGCTGCAAACACAGAGATGCCTGCGGAGGCTTGGTGTGCAGAGCAACTATCTGGCCAATCTGCCCCTTCCCCCTGCAAGGAGCAGCCCTCCTCCTCAGGGCCAGATAAGGAGAGTGACTCAGTCCAGACCATTCTTGGTGGCTGCAACCCTGTGAAGGCCCAGCCACACCCTGCTTGGCTGGCCTTGGGCCACCCTTCTTTGTGCTCCCCAAAGACCTTTAGTCTTCCTGCATCTGATTCACTCGTGTAAATAGCCTCAGGCTGGCCTTCTAGAGTGGCCGAGGGCTGCTTCTGGAGGGTTAGAGGCCCATGGGGGGTTTCCCGCCCCTGTTCCAGGATAAGTGGGTGGCTGAAAGACAGATTGCTGGGGATTTAGGTTTTAGAGGCTGGTGACAAGTTTTCATTTAGTCACAGGTGACCCAGGTGATAGAATGTAGAGGGGGGGCTGAGCTGGGACACCCCTCACTTCACACGGGGAAACTGAGGCCTGAAGATGGGGAGTGACTGGCCTGTCTCTCTGACACCTTCTCAGGAGGGCACAGGGTATTTGTCCTGAGCCTGGGTGACTGTGCTGACATAAAGATGAGAGGAAACCATAGGGACAATTCTGAGGACAGGTGAGGTCGCTGGGGACAGGAACTAGGGTGAGTTTGCTGCAGTGCCCTGCAGTGTCTGGCAGGGGGCTGGTCCCCTCTGAAGAGATCAAAAAGGCGGCTGGAATTGTTAAACCAAATGAAGAGCGGTGCAGGAGGCTGTGTGTGGGAAGGAGGGAATCCTTCCTCTATTGTGAAAACTCTTCACTCTGCGTGTGGGCAGCTCTGTTGCTCTCCCTAGCTCATCCATCCATCCATCCATATACTAGGATGAGGAGGACTCTGTTAGGCACATGGATTCAGCACGTCTCTGACACCCTCCTGTGAGATGCTCAAGGAGCGCAGGCATTGCTTCCTATTTTTGTGTTTGGTTGGCAAGTGCTAAATGCCTCACAGGAAAGTTACTTGCCTTCCCCAGGCTCAGATTCCTCATCATGGGAACATTAAAACTGCCCAATAAATGTGTTGTTGAATGAATGTGTGCTTTTGGGGCTGCAGGGCAGGGGATTATCCTGGTGGGGGGTGGGGTGGGCATTCAGAGTCCCAGAGTGGGGGTCAGGCTTGAGCTTGGGGTTGTGAAAGGGACAGTCCAGCTGCCTGCTCCCTGCAGCTGTTCCCAGGAGCCTGTTATCACCTTGGGGCATTGTATGGCCACAGCAGGGTGGGGCAACTTTGTCTCAGGAGCCAGGGTGGGTGCAGCTCAGAGAACCCTCATCCAGAAAGTGTGCCTTTGTCAGAGGAGACAAAGGGGAATTTAGAGTGTAGATGATCCCCCCAGGGGGTGGGTTCTGAGAAGTTGTAATTTCCAGTGGGCTGTAGGAATCTGGCCAAGGTACTTTGGCAGGGGGGTGTTGATTATGATCACAAGGAAGAGGCTCACAACATGCTTCCAGAGGGGGCACTCCGAGTGAGTGATATCTGGGTGGAGGGCTACTATAATTCCTGGGGGGTGTCAAACTCCGGGTGATCTTGGGGTGAGGGTCAGATTGTGAATTCTTGGGAAAGGAGGTGTCTAAATATGTGTCCGATGCAGTAAAGATCCAGAATCGGCGAAGACTGAGAATAGGGGGCTGCGTGGTCGGAGCCGAGTGGGCAGGGCTGGGGCAGCCGTGCGGAGGGCAGGGGCCTCGGGTTCTGGGAGGGGACGGTTGGGGGCTGAGCCACTCGTAGTCCACTGCTGGGGAGGAGTGCACATATTTGCACTCAGGAGGCTGCAAATTCCGCAGGGCTCAGATCCCGCCCCAGGCACCGTCCCTCCCGCCCCCCCGCCTCCATACATCCTTACAAACCCACCCTACCATACCGCCCGGCCGC